TTTTTTTTAATATATCAAACTAGCCAGACTTTGTGATGTCTGGGTGATTTTAAAAGCTCTGCCATATGTTAGTCTGTTTTTCCACTACTACCTGTTGATGTTGTCTTGTGCTTTCAGTTCATTGATGACTTCTTCCAAGTGTTTGTCCACATTGGTTCATATTTCTCATACTTCTCATATGCAGAACAAAATTATTCTGGCCAGCAGCATTTACTAGACCCATACCAGCAATCTATTGGTTTATATCTCCCACAAARCATATAAAGGGCTGACAAAGTTCAGCGGTCCCTTGTATTCTTCATCCATGGCTGCAATTCAGTTACATGTAGACAGTCCTATTCCCACAAATCTGCATTTACCACATCTTTTGAGTTAGCTGTCCTTCCACTAAGAGGCAGTATAGGCCTATATTTCATAAATCACAGATTCTACAGAAATTATTAGAAAAAGGAGGAACAACTTGAGAACGTGGAGTAGCAACTGACACTGGCTGCAGTTTTATGCTGTGATAAAACAGTGACTAACCCTTGTCACATTGGTGAATACAGAGTGTCCCAAAGACCAAGAAATATGTGGCCAAATGGTGGCTTAAAGAAACTTACTGGATGTCATTTGCCACTGAATAGAGTGGTGTGTGCACTGCACCTTTTCATGACTGCTAGAGAAATTACGAAGGGGTTGTTAGAGCCACATCAGTAGTCGCTGTGTTCAAAAAAGAAGACAGGTATACCAAGCCGTACTGTAAATGGTATAGTGGAGCTTTAGAGAGATAATGACTTATAGAGGAGGATACCATAGCTCAGGAATTATTGCTAACTGGATCTTTAGATAGTTACAGGAAAGCTCTGGTCATCTCAGGGGTGGCCAATAGTCCAAGGGCACAAAATATGTATTTTTCTGTTTCTGATTTATGATACCAAACCAGAATATATTTTCCTCTGTGGTTAGTAAGTCAGTCTAATTAAGATTTCAATTTCAGGTTGTTTTCTGTGAAACAGAATGATAGGAACTACAGCAGAAGCTGTTGGTTTCTGCAGAGTTGTTCATCCTTCAGACTACTAGATTAGTCTAGCATCCAGATTGCTAGGTGTAAATGACTTTCATGCAGACCTAGCTGTAGTTTTGGAGATTATGTTGAGCAGACCAGGGTGTGATCCAGGGATCCATCTGGTGCAATACCAGAATAAGTTGTTCCTGTGATAGGACTGTCACTGTCATAGAAGATCAGTCTTTGCTCAGTTCATTTTTTAGYAATGCAATAGTTAGAAACCTGCATATCAGTCCCCATGTTGAAAAGATGGAGGAGTATCTGGCCTGCTACAAAATTTTGGATGCCTGATAGATCCTGAATTGCTGATATAGTTCACTGATAAAATAAAATTAAATAGTCTCTTGACAGTGCAAATGACCTAAGTCTGCATTGTTTGTAGAAGTAGTGCAGGACTGTGAAGCTGTCTGTCAGCATTTGGACTGTGGAAATGACTGTTTTCAACACTAGGCAGATGGCTGTGATCCCTTGCAGAGATCACATTCCCTGAGCTCTCAGACGTTCTTATATGAGCTTCCCATCTCTGAGTGGAAGCATCTGTCAGCACAGATTTGTTTGACTGAGATAAGGTTGGTTTGCTCTTCCAACTCTGAAGTGGGTCTATCTGCTAGTTTAAGGAAAAGATTTACTTCAAGAATGACTTCTGTGTGTCCATGAGATGTCAGCTTGGCAAATTTCTTTTTATAGAGCATAGATGAAGTCTGTCAAATAACATCAAACAAGAAGACACATTCCTACTCTGGGTGGTTCACAAAGCTCGCTGTAGTCTGGAATCATTCTTGTGCTAGCAGACGTCTATCTTACCTGACTTCTGTGAACACCAAGCGATTGCAAAGAGAATCTTTTATTGTCTGAGACTTTCTTGGTTTGCTTAAGCTAGGACAGTTCTCCTAAGATGAAAGAAATAGATGTCATAGCAAGATGTTATTGAAAGGAGGTTTTGGGGTGTGGCTTTTTTCTTAGGCTATGTGGAAGGTAATCTGAAAGTTTTCTAGTAGATGGGAGACATGATTGGCCTTAGTGTTCAAAAATCATAGCTATATGAAGATAAGTTCTTTAAAACTGTCTCAAAATAGCCTTGATGACTGTAGCTGGGGGAAGACTACCTTTCTCCCAGCAGAATTGTTTACAGATAATGGAAAGTCAGATCTTCATGGCTCTAACATGCTGCTCCATAAAGAAAAGGCAATTGTTAGGCCTTATCAAAATATCAGCACCAGTTTAAATATGCTTAGTCTAGACAGAGCATAGAAAAATTGTCAGGTTTACAATTCGCAAAAGTCTAGACATCAGAACAGAATGTGAGGCGATCTGATCAACTCAAGGTAATGTCTGGGGAAAGAAATTGTGAGCACTAACTAACTGGTAAGGGAGAAAACAGAGTGAGCAGGAGATGCACCTAACACAGATATTGCATCTTTACAGCTTTAATAGTGATCTTTCAGCAATTGATTTCTGTGTACGTGTTGATATGTATGCGTAAGAATATACGATATTTTTTCTTCCCTCATTCCTGTGTATTTCCATGTCTTTCAGTTCTTCAGTAATCAACATACGCTATGCTTCCCAAGGCTCTTTGTGTGTAGAGGAATGTTTGATAGGTCTCAGATTTTGGATATCTGTTATACATGTTGTATATTTATGTCATGGAGAAAAGGTCTGAAGAGATCTTACTCTTGCAGTATAGAGCTGTGATGTTTTGAAACAAAAAAATAAGCACTTTCTCAAAGTACCCATTGTGAGAACTCTTCATATTTTTGTAGAATAATTATGCTATAAACAACATGATTATTTAATGGAGGAATGCTTAAATGCATTTAATGAAGGAATGCTTAAATGCTTCATATTTGCATATATGAAGCAGCTGAGAAACAGCATCACTTTCTGGGGCCCCTTTTCTTTTTAGCCATCTGAAGAAGGATTAGCAAAGGAGCGATGTTAAGTGATGTTAAAGACTTTCTTTAAACTACTTTTCCATTTTACTTAGGTCCCTGGAGTTGTTACATCAGCAACATGAGTTAAATCTGTCCCGTGAATGCTTTATGTTGCATTCAGACCTCATTGATTAGCTGTTGAGAGACCTTTGCACCATGCTGCTGTAATTCTGCTGGTGTGCTGTGAAGACCAGTCCATAAATTTGGAGTCAGAAGATCATTAGACAAACTAATTCCATGCATATAGCGTAAATGATAGAATTTCACCCACACATTTTGGCATCAAACTCTGTTCTAATCTCTGTACTTAAACATTTATTTCAATATACATCTGGGGTCTCTTGGCTTGTACATCATGTTGATAGCATGGCTGTGTTTTGCTGATAGCACAAAGGCTGGCCCTGGACCTGGTGACTGTGATTAGTGGAAGCTACTTAGTTCCAACAAATGCTACCTACCATTTTTTTTCCCAGGTATCTCTACTATCAAGGAGAACAAAGAACTATCCAGTAGAAGATGAAAACTTGTAATTATGAACAAATTGCTCAGAACTGTTCCTGATGAACTCAGATTTCTTGTACTTCAGCAGATGCTGTCTGATTACCAAAGGGACATTTGAAGAAATTCCAATATGGAATAGTTTCAAGAGACCTCACTTGTGATATTTTCAGGATAATACAGTTAGATACTGCTAGATTTGTTTACAGCACTTTACAAGGAACATTTGGAAAGATGCTTCCAGGTTTGTACATTAGGTGGAAAACACAGCTCCCAGCTGTACACATCTTCTGTTTTTATAAAATATGTTTTTAGGAGTTGTTTCATAGACAGGTTTTCTAGAAGTATATTTTATAGCCTGTAGGGTTTTTTTTTATATATATATCCAGTTATGTCTTTTATGGGAATAAAAGGAGAGTGAGCTATCACCAGACAGCAAATTTATGTAGGTTCACTGTACCGGAATTAGAAACAGATTAAACATCATCAACATGATTTTAATATTTAGAAGTAATTTCTCTACTGCTGATATGACATGTTAATAGTCAGCATTTGCAACTGACATAGCTTCTGGTAGGACTGCTATTTTAAAAATAGGTATTTTAACAGTTATTTCAGAGTGTCTGTATATTATATGTCTATCTTTAGGCACACATTGTATAGATATGTGTATATAAAATGTKTTGTACATGTGTATACATTTTATATACACACACTTACTGTGTAACAGAGAGTATATTAAATACAAGCTTTGCTGCTAATCAAAACTGTAGTACTTGAAAGCACTTTGAGAATTTCAATATTTATTTGCTCTGTATTAAATGGAGATAAGAATGTCTCCATACAGTAGTAGAGCAGCTACCTTTTCTTTTTTCTTTTTTTTTTTTTTTTTGTCTACAGTTCAGTCTTGAATACTTCTGAAGGCCTTTTCCTACAGTTGGTACTATGGCAGTCACAACCACTGAAAATAGCCAGACTTCATTTGATGACATAGTCCTGCTAACTCTGAAAATTATTAAAATAGTGGTGATCATATGATTACACAAAGTAATTTGATATAGAGGTATACTGTGTAGTCTTCACAGGCTGGGGCAATGAATTTGCAGTGGTTTTTTTGTAACTTGAATAGCTAACTAGCCTTCRTCTCCTAACAATCTAAGAATGTTATTTCACCTGTAACATGAGATGCAGTGAAAAATAGCCCAATGGACAGTGTGTATGTATATATATACATATATAAAAAATCCACTTTTCAGGTATATGTAGTGTAGAAAGTCATCTAGCAGTAGCTATGCGTCTGTACAGTGGAACAGTCATGCTAGCAAAAGCCCATTACAGATGCTTTAAAAAACAGATGAAGAAGGTAAAGTTAATTAAATGTCTTAATTTGACTTTCTTATGATGGAGGAAGTAGAATACAGCTTTGTTAAACCTGATGGATTTTTAGGAAGACTACACTACATGTAGCTGCCAGTGAAACTGATTGTATTGATCATTTATTCAGAAAGACTTCATTTAAATTGAATCTTTATATGTGGGCCCTACTCATGCTGCATATTCATTCTCCTAATAATTTTACGTTCAAAATAGTGTAAAATTATCTTCCCTTAAAGAAACCTATTTTAATATCTTTTGGTATGATTTAATTTTTTTCAGACTGTCATAAATGCTTTAAAATACCTTGGATCTGCTTACAAATATGTTTTGAAGTTGCATAGTTTATTTAATCTGAATTTGTGTAATAAAGTGCTCACTACTATTTGATGGCATTGTTTTTGTTAAGAAATAGRCTATAATTAATGATTCTTATTGTGTTTATCTTAATATGTTTGTATGTTGATTTTGAAGTAAATTTTGAACTGCTTTTTTTTTTTTCCCTCTCTGAAAGATGTGGGGCTGGCTGCCTCTGGTGGCCAACAGCAGAGAGCAGATTTCTCTCCAGTGAACAAAAGATGGGTGCTAGATTGGTGGYATATATAGCTGTGTTCATCAAGGCAAATCCAAGCAGGGAATCAGTAGTCTTTTCTGTTTCTCTCCAGGAGTTCCTTAGGGATTTTTTTTCTTCCATAGAGTTGCAAACAAATTGGCTTGCCCACTATTGCAGAAAAGAACTGAGACATTTTTCTTTCACTTTCTTTACTCTTTGGAGCATTTATTTACAGGTAGAGAACACTTAAAATTGGACGTTTACTGTGTATTGTTACTGGTTTCAAAAGCAACATTCTGGTCAGATCAAGGTGCTGATGAGGGAAATGGCTGCCTTAAAATGGCAAGCAGTTTTATGCTGTGTCTCTGTGCATCTGAAACATAAACATTTTTCAAATATATTAAAAAAATGAATATTTTATTGCTCTGAACATTGTTGAAAACAATCATTTGACTGATTGCAAACTGGAAATGCAGGGATTTCTATTAAAAGGGACATACAAAAGGGAATATCTGAATGATTTAGTGAGGATAGATATGAWGAACGCTGACTTTTTATCTCTTCTCTTACACTGTTTTTTTATGAATAGGAATTTGCAAATATCCTTTGGGCATTATTTTATGATAAAGAAATAGTTGTGTGWATCATTAGATTTAAACTACATTTTGCAACAGAAAACTTCTGTAGTGGATTGTATTTTGTGATGCAGTACTGCCTGGGAAGAGATGCAAGTAGTTTGGAAAGTGTTGCAAATGTACATCAACTAGGTAACATATGGATGTTTAAAATAGTAWGTGTTAGATGTATGCCATGAAATTCTAACCTATATACCTGTAGTAGAATGGCTTCTGTTTTTGTTTGAAAATACAAAATGTACAAAAATTGTCATTACCCAAGGTGTTACTAGTCTTGTGGCATTAGTACATAGATACCTTCCACAGAGACCAAGGCCCATTGCATTTGACATTGTATAAAAAGTAGCAAGAGCTAGTCCTTCTATGAATAATTTATTGTTTAGGGAAATAGGCAGCAAAAATAAGCTGCACGACATCATTCAGCAAATCTGYAGCAAACTTCAGAACAAGACATGCATCTGCAGAACTCCAGCTCGATGCATAACTGTTATCCTTCAAGATAAGTGTAGTTTTTTCTTGTATATTTCTACTCTTTACTGATGTGTGCACAAAAAATACCATATTCAAGAACCAAATGTAGCTTTATTTATTATTTATCTAATTGGAAAAGTCTTGGTTTTTCACAATAGTGGTGTTGAAAACAGTGGACTTAACTAGAGTTAACTTTCAGTTACTTGCATGATAATCCAAATTATGGCCCAGTAAAACCTTTCCTTCAGTTTGCATGGCTGCAGTAAAGTAACGGAGATCATGCAGTGCTGTGCCTTCTGTTTTTCCTCATTGCATCTACCTTCTGCAGCCATCCGGTTGCAGGTTCTTTCTCTGGCAAATAGCCTGTGCATGGATTCTGTAGCCTGATTTATTTGTCTTTTGTTGTGTCTGAATCATTTCCCAGTTCCCTGTCAAATAATGAACTATTGACAGTAGGTCAAACCATAAGTCTTGTTCTCTATATGAATTCCTGTTTGCAGTTACAGAGTGATGTACTTAAAAACTGCATTTCTTAAAGTCATTCTGACTTTCAGGGCAGTTTTTTGACAGAATTATTGCCTCATTATTTTTGATATTTCGTATCAAAATCATTGATGACTAGTTCATGATCTTATGAAATTATGTTAATTAAAGAAGAAAGGCTGGCAACATTCCTTGCTAAAATCAAGAAAGCTTTTAGCATTGTCTTCCTCCAGTAGAGTATTAAACTTGTATACTTGTAAACTTGTAYACTTGTAAGAGTATTTTAGCTTGTATGTAATTTGTAGGAAATTGTAGCCAAGTTTTAGAAAGAATTGGCAATTTTAARTGTCTGCATTTCAGAAGAGACGAGAAGAGGAAAGTGCTTCAAAATGATTGATTTTTTATTGTATGAATAGGCCACTGATTTGAATTTAAAAAGTCTAATCTCTAGGTTTTATCATTCGATCTCTCTAGTTAGGCAGAAGCATTTGCAGAAGAGAGGTCTTTGATTCATTTTGTCTCTTGTCTTGCAGGAAACTAAATCATACAAATCCTCTGTTCAACTGTTGTTCTCAGCAGAAGATCATGAGAATCATAATAAGAAAAACACTMATTTCAAAATACTTGACATTTGAATGCACAGATTTCCTAGAAAACTAGAATCGTGACTTTGTTTCTGCAATTAACTAATCATTCATTGCTGTATTTTGACCTCAACCTCTTTCTTTTGTGGCTTACAGCCACAGTATTGTCTTTCCTCTGCCTTTATCTCCATTCATGCAGTGTAGGCAAGTATAAAATGCCTGGAGTTAGCCTTAGCAGTGGGATGGGTGCTCTGCTACACTCACARTCATGTTTATAATGATGGTAGTTTCTTCTTATTTGCTCTGGGATCCACTTGGAGTCATTTTTACACATTTGCCAGCTTGTTCTTATAACTTCACTCTATTCATTGACTTACAGCTCCTCATTRCATCTGAATTTACTATATATGGTGCCTTTTGTATGTATTAGATACTACTTCTCTTTGTTACCCTGAAAATTATTTTTTTTCCAGTTTCAGGTGTGCATTTCTTTGACCATGGGTGAGTTGTTTATAGCTGTGCCGTTAAGTCTGTGTCTCATGCCCATGTTCCTCTGTGCTGCATCCTTTGCCTCCACTCCTCAAGGGCTCTTCTGTCAAAACAGGCTGCTCTTTCTCTATCCTATATCATTATGTTATTATAAATATATTTAGTTCTGCATAGAATAACTGCGTATTATTGCTGTCTATATCAAAATATGATTGCATCATGCAAAAATAAGCAGAAGTAAAGCAAATTAGCCATAGACACCTGGTCAATTAGAGAAACAGCTATCAGCTAAAACAAGAAAAACAAAGCTGCAAGCAGGCTGAGAAAAGTTCAGACAGAGCAAATCTGACAGGCTTCAGTCCAGAGACTAAAATTTTGGTAAAAAATTCACAGCCTAGTGTCAATGCTGTATTACAGGGTTGTGCAAGTGATAACTCTCATTTATAGCACCAAGCCAGGCAACAAAAGGCTTAAAAGGAAAATGTCAAA